GCATGCAATATTAAATGAGCTTTGATTTTAGTTTTTTGTATGAAAATGAAGATTTTCATTAATGTGTTAGGAGAAGATTAATGCCAAAAATAAATAAATTATGAATTGCAAGAAAGCGAACATAAAGGATTTTTTTTTTTATTTTTTAAAATAAAAAAGAGTTCAAAATGAAGAAAAACAAGGGGAGGAGGAGAAAAGCGCATTCGAAAGTATTTTACAGCAAAATTGTTTGGCGACACTGCTTAGGAAAACCATCGGAGTACTTAGCCGCTTGACCTAGGTGACATAACGAGTAGATCAAACATCGCAGGCAGGGAGCTGCCCTTGATAAGACGTCTAATATAAAGATTGTTGAAGCGTACTGACGTGCAAGGGCGTAAACCAAGCAAAGGTAACTATAATTATCGTGGGAATCAGTATGGTGTTATTTATACATGTAGATAGCTTTATGGTATTTTAGATAATATTATTTTGTTTAAATAGTTTTGAATAAGGTGATCAATTACTTAAATATTATGTAAACTGTAAACCGATTTTCTTTACTTGAAGTGTAAGAGATTAATTATCATCGAGAGAATGCTAATGGTCTTAAAAATATAAATTCAAGATTAATATGATTATAATATCAGCCTAGATTCAATTGGTGTTGTGATCAAGAGGGCTATGGAGAGCTTCTGAGATAACAATTAGGAAGGACTCTTCTATAGTGGCTTATATATAGCATTATTGCGTAGCAAAGTCCGATTACGTCCGGAAACCAATCCAGATGCTTAATCAGTAAAACACATCGGTCGATGTATTTGAGTGAACATGGGATTCGAATTGGTTACTCCGGATGTCAGGTGACTGAATGCAATAATTCGCCTATGTAATCTCTCAAGTTTCTTTAGGTGCAGATATTCTCTAAAATTCTCCTTAAAAATCCCATTAAGTTGATTTTCTCTCAAGAAATCTAATTTTAATCATGTTCATGTGGGAATACTCTCGAATAATTTCGAGAGTCCTTATAATACAACTCACATAGACACAATTTTTGTCATACTTAGGAAGATAAAACTATGACAGCAAATTAAAGTTGCCCAGCCAGTACATCCTTTCTGCGAGAGTTCCAAAAAAAGTTCTATTATTGAGATAGATCAATGAACTACAGTAAAATCATCCAATAGATAGCAAAACCCACCAATTATAAACAAATCTTCATAAGGTATAGGTATATGATTCTAACTTTATCATTTATTTATATTTGTATTCTATTAGTATTGAAGAACTAATTGTGTTTACCAATATATAATAGAGACACAAAGTAAGGAAAAAAAAACTAATATGGACTTAAAAAAATCAAGAAAGTCTTTGGAAATTTTATAATCAACAAAACTATCGAAAAGCAGTAATAATACTTTTATAAGATCCCAAACTTATACAATACATAGATGATGATTAACATCAAAGACATAATATTATATTTTGTACGATTTTTATTAAAGAGAAGAGAAATTAGAGAGAGAAAGAGAGAGAGGAGAAGAGAGAAACTAATTAGCTATAAGAAGATGGAGAATTATGGATTTGATCCACTTGAAGCTTGATTCGGACGGAGGATTTATTGAGCTTGCCTTCATGGTAAGACGTTTGTAGGGGCCACACCTGGCGCTTCCGTCTTTGACTTGCCGGGTCGCTGCGGCTTGAACCTGAAGCCGTTTGAAAGCCTGTGGAGTTGTTTGTCATTTTCGGGCTCATCGTCGTACCGAAGATCGTTATGTGCTCGGATGTAGCCGCAAGGACGGGAAAGACCGAGTTTTCCTCTCTCGATATCTTTTAGCTCTCTTCTTGAGAAGAGAAGAGGGAGAAGAGGAGAGAGAGAACAATGAAGTGTGTGGTGGGAAAGAGAAGCAGAAGAAGACTGGAGAGAGGTAAATAGAGGAGATATTATAGAAATTGGTGACTATCAGTTTTATGATTTAAATTATTTTATAACTGTTAATAATATTTTAGATGACTTTTAAATTTTAAAATTGGTTGCAATTTATACTATATTGAGGCTCGAAGGAGGACAAAATTTCTAATTTTAATTTTTTTTATTTAAGAGAAATTTTTGGCTCAATTTTAAATTATGATATAATTTTCTATGTTTATCATACATAAAAAAATATTTTTTAAAAAAAAGCATGGTTAGGGAATCATGGAAAGTGGTGCTTTCCACGTGTGTGCTGCCTACCCCCCCCCCCGCCCCCCCCCTCCCGCCCCCCCACCCCCCTACCCCACCCCCCCCCCCCCCCCCCCCCGTCCCCCCCGGGGCCCCCCCCGCCAGCTCGCCCCGGCTTTTTCTCTTTCATGCTTTCGGCGATTATCTTTTTTTCTTCTTAGGGTTTAAGGAAAATTAATTATTATTTATCACTTTAGTCCATGCGAAGTGCAATGGCTGGGTTTGGATCGGTATGACGTGTACGCTGCATATAAAAGGTTAGTTTTTTTATAAATAATTATTACTTTTATGTAGGTTATTATTTATTTTATTTAAATTTTATTTGGAACACATTTTTTATTTATTTATAAATATAGATTTTTAATATAAAAAATTCTAAGTTTATTTTTTTTATTTAAAAGCAAAAAATCGATTGAATATTTTTTAGGAAATATTATCAATGACTATATAAAATGGAGTTCTTGAAAGAATACATATCATTTGTCTTAATGGGTAATGTTTGTTCCTGGAGTATTCGTGAGGTAGATAAAATTAATAAAAAGTTTGAGTGTCGTTTAAGCGTGCAAAGAATCCAACAACATGAGATAGAGAGACGCTTGTGGAACATTTCATAAAGAAGACATTAGAGTTTTATGTGGAAAACATACCTAAAAAGGGGAAAAATTGTGGGTTGCTGCCAATTAGCGATGAACTTTGGCAGTCGATTAAAATGAGGCACGCGTCTTAGAGAGAGGCATTGGTTGATGTCACAATGAGTATATAGAGCCCATTTAATGGTGGGAGTATACAATGATCAACATTAGACATATTTTGTTTGGTTGGTAAGGGCCATGTTAGCAAGAGGATAGGGGTCTGAACAATCGTAGTTTGGCAGGAGATCAAGGGGTTCGATAAAGACATGTATGGTGATGGAAGGTCGGAAATGATCATAATCTGACATGGAGAAATGGGTCCGAAAAATGTAATAGAAAGGCGTAACTCGGGAGACTCTCCACGTCAAGTGGTGTCTGGTAGATAGTCCGGAGTCTCATAGGTGTGGTTTGGATAAGATTTGTGCCTCGAGATGGCAGTTGGTAGAGTTCAGAACGAGATTGGTGGTTTCCGGCGAGATTTCGGGCGTTACGTAGTGTCTGGTGGAGCTCAGGGCCTCAAGTGGTGGTATGGTGCCAAATCCGGGCTCAGGGGTGGTGGCTCTGGTGGAACACAGGGCCTCGAAGTGCGTGGCCGACAGAAGTTTGAGACTCGAGTCAGTGGTCTGATGTGTGCAAAATTGTTGGCCCTCAGGTGATTTGTTTGGTGGAGCAACAAGAGCCTCAAGTGGTGGTCCGGCAGAGCAACAACGTTAGCGCGGTGCGTCCGGTGGAGGTAGAGGGCCTCAAGTATGGTAGGTCCGGCGGAGTTAAAGGTTTAGGTGGGGTCCGGCAGAGCAACGACAAACTCAAGACGGTGGTACAGCGCAGGTAAGCGGACTCAAGTGGTGGTTCGTGGTGATTCGAGGAGGAGCTTCTTCTGCTTCTCTCTTTCTTGTGATAGCTCACTTATCCAAGAGAAAGGAGGGGTCTATTATATAGGATTATGGAGTGGACATGGCCTTAAGATAGGTCGAGAGTCACATGGTAATGTGAGTGGTTGGCATGGACGGCCGATATTTGAATCTCTTGATTGTGTGACACGGTTCGTACGGATATTTTTGAAGGTACTTAATGATGTCGGAAATTGCGATCTTAGGGCTTGTTGGTTCATATCGTCGAGCCACTCGATTTAATTAACAGCACGATAATGTTTGAAACCGTTTGGAAATCCAAATTGAGTGATCTTGACCTCCAACAGCGCTTAAGGTCCTTGATTGGACTCATTTGGGCTCGATTGAAAGTCGATTTGGTTGTCGTGGGTTCGTATTGTTCGAGTGTTCAGTTTGACTGTATAGTTTCTGAATAATCTAAGTTTGATGGTCCAATATTTAATTTTGGAAAGTTTCAATTGATTTTGCATTGAGATTCTGTGTCCGATCAAGATTATTTTTTATGACGTATCAGGTAACTATTTTTTTTTTCTAACTATTTACATGTTTTTAATTATTTACATATATTAATTTATATTAAATAAATATAATAATTTTAATATTATATGAAATAATATGGACCGGAGAATTTTTTCACATTTGCAATTAGGTAAAGGGTTTTTATAATACTTAGTGGCACAGTTTTAGGCAAAAAATTCCAAATGCCATCATGTCAGGAATAGACCTTATCTTTGTTCATGGCCCAAAGTTTAAGTGGCAAAAAATGACAGTAGAAATATTTAATACTTAAAATAATAATATAATAATTATATTAATTAATAACAATTATTATATTCCTTTTTCAATAGAACAAACATCCTTTTAATTAAAAGCCAATTTAATGATATTAGAGGTGTAAGTGAGCCGGCTCAAATTTGACTTAATAAATGACTCGTGAGTTGAGTTTCGATGAGCCGATAGGTCAAGTGTGAGTCAGTCCTGACTGGAGTTATTAGCTTGCAAGTTAGTATATTTAAAACTAATTAATATAAAAAAACATTTAAAATATATTAGCATTCATGATTTAAAAAATCCCAATCTCATATTTTAAGAGATTATTTATTATTATTTTTATTATTTTAATTTCTCATTTATTAGTTATTTTATCATAACACTTAATTATTTGAATCATAAACATTTTTTTCGCTTTCATAACAAACAAGCTAACTCGTGAGTTGTGAGCCATCTCAAACTCTTAGAACAAAACTCGAACTCGAGCTCAAATTTAATTAATCAATCAATATCAAGCTCAAGCTCAAATCATGACTGACATGTGCTCGATTCGTCCCTCATACGAGTAAATGCTCACAAAGTTAATAATAAAAAATTATTTTGTGTACGGCATAAAGTTTTTTATTAGATTTTATTTTACTCCCTAGATCGAAATTTCTTTTTTAAATTAAATGAGAAAATAAATTGACTACCTAACTTGAACTAATTATTATTAAAAATCTTTGAATAAAAAAATAAAATCTACCAAGAAAGCGTCTGCAGTGGCGTATAGTGCATCCACCACTAGCTTTCTTAGCATTACAGATGTGGAAGTGGCGCACAACATTTGTTTCACATGGGCCTGTGGGGCCATACTTTCTCCACCAAAATTTAAATTTTTTTGGACTATTTTTTTTACTACTTCTTAAAATAAATTTTAAATACAAAATTATTATTATTTTTAAATTATTTTAAGAAATAGTAAGAAAGTCGTCCCAAATAAAATCTCATCGAACACTTGAAGTTGATTGTTTTTCTATAATGGTGAGACTATATGACTATGAAGGTTTGTGTTGAACATTGATGGTTGCAAGATGGGGGTATTACTTATTAGTACATTTTAGGAGATGATCAAAGAGAGAACATTGGAGATTAGGCGATGTTAGACAATCAAACACGAGATGGTTGAGAGATCAAATAATTGGGAAGGCTTGAGTTGCATGTTGGTGGCTAACATACACCAGTCATCACCTTTTTGTATGTGCGAGGCAATGCTCAATGAGGTAACATCTAATAAGCAGACCACACTATAAAGCAATAACTTGGATGAGGAGATCGTGCCATCTGATTTCTGCCATATACTTTTCTCTGTTTATGTTATCACCGTTGTTCACTAAAGGTCTCATCCTGATCGTTCCTGTAGCTCTCATCTTCTACTAGCATACTCTTTCTATATGTATGAGCGGTAACAGTGAAATGAGCACAGAGAGAAATACTTCATCACAGGAATACACTTCATTCCTTCTACTTTCTTCTACGCATTATGTTCATCTGTATATTTTTCTTTCTTCTGCAGGTTTGCGCTTAGAGCAGAGTTTTCTACATGGTATCAGAGCTGGAACAAGAGCAAGAGGAGGAGTATATGGAACAGTGGGAGAGGAAATTGATTCTGTTTTCTCATAAAAGAATGGAAAAACAAACTCAAGAAATTTGACATGTTTGGATATGAAGAATTTTTGAGAAGGAATGTGGAAGCATATGTAATCTTTTGTGGTGGAAGGATATCCAAGAAAGACACATGGGAGAGATTTTGGGTGAAGTTTGGATTTGACAAACATCAGAGGTTGATTGATGTCAAGTGTTATAACATCCGCTATTACAGTGCTCTAAATCTGTTTGAACATGATCTGATAAGTTATGTGTGATTGAAAATTTATGCACTTCTATTTTGAATATGTTTGTAAATGTCCCTATATACTTATGATTGTATAAATTATGTTTTAGAACTTGTCTCAACGGTTTGTGTGTGTGAAATTCAAGTTATGAAGTAACTTCATTTTGGAGCATTTTGGTGTTGGAGATTGAGCGCTACGGTGCTTAGGAGGACAAGATGGGGTGTTTTGGGGAGACTCCAACAAATGGAAGAAGAACGAAGCACTTATTTGGAGTTTTTGTCAATGGATTAATCATCTATGTTTCTAGTAGAGAGTCATATTAGCTCTAGGCAAAATTATTACATGGGTTCATTGGACGCCGTAAGGAGGCTAATCAGGACGTACCATGTCACTAAAATATTTGTGTACCACTTTGTATCAGATGACACGACATGTCCTGATTGACCTCCAGTCGTCTGGTGACTACACGTAGTAATTTATTTAGCTCTAGAGTTCTCTTTGTATATCAAAAGCTTATAGAAATTAAGGCATTTCGTTTGTTTCACCCATAAGAAAATAAATTGAAGTATAAATATCAAATTTAATGTAGGCAAAATAAATAAATAAAAAATACAATATCAACCATTAAGCTTTTTTTTTTTTAAATTTAAAAATTAAAATTTAGGCTTTGTTTGGTACGGCTTTCTTTCTACTTCTTAAAATAGTTTTTTAGTGCAAAAATTAAATTTTTGCACTAAAAAATTGTTTTAAGAATCAGAAAGGAAGCTATACCGAACAAAGCCTTAATAATAGGTGAATCAAATATAATAGTATAAATAATATAAATAGATATTAAATTAATTATCCATTTTAATAATTATACCAACCAATTAAAAAGTTATTCTAATTGTTGATATATATATATATATATATTTCATATTCCAAATAAATATATATATTTTTATTTTTGTCATATACCTCATACGACAATAATCATGCATAGCATCAGTGGTTGGCGGTATTAGTGATGGATACCTATAAATAGGATTAATTATTCTGTGCGGAGACCAAGCAGAATGCGTCACGCCATCCCTTCACTCGGTACCATGACTCGGTACTGTTCGGTACCGCTCGGTACTGCTGACGTGAAACAGTCTGGTTGATCTCCGAACTGTGTTCTACGTTCGGCTGGCCTCCACTCATAATAATTTCTCTATAAATAGACTGAGTGGTGTTTAGGTAATTTTCATTAAGAAAATGAGTTCTATCCAACTCTAAGCTTGAAAAATAAAAGATGATAAAATGATCAGGATATGAACAGAGTGGTTCATTCATTGAAATCACAATTGATTCAATCAACAATTTTGTAGGATTGATCGATTTGATCTGACTTTAAAAGTATTATTATATTAATACTATTTATTTTTCAAGAGATTAAAATACATATCCCAAAAAATTTTATAGATTTATATATTTAAGAATAGTTTTTTATTTATATAATATTTTAATATTTAAATTATAATAATGATAGTTATTGATGTTATTAAAAATTAAAATATTATATAAATAGAAATAAATAAATTTCCAAAAAAAAAAAAGAAATAAATATTTATAAGTTAAATAAATATAATTATGAAATTTCCGCTGCTTTTTCCTATCTGTCCCACGTTCCCATACAGATCACCGCTCGCGTCGCGTTCGTTCTTCTTCTTGCTTCTCCGGAGCTCGTCTGCGTGCTTTGGACGCCTCTCCCATGCAATCAAGCTCTCAGATTTAATGGTGGTTGCGACTCGTGAATCGAAGCTACCATTTTTCGCCTTAACGCCTCCCTTAAAGGAAAGGAAGCACGCGGAAGAGACGAAGAGGGGGAGATATAGAGGATGTTCAGCATTCTTGGCTCTAAGTTCTCAAACAAATGGTAAGCAGCTTGGTTGTGGATTTGGGGGAAGGTTTTAGTTCCATGGATTTGTGACTGATTTTGATGTGTTTACAGCAAGCATTCGGTGAAGTGCATCAAGTGCAGGATAGAGACGATCCGGAAAAAGAAGCATGCGATGGAGAGGTGTCTTAAGAGGGATGTTGCAGATCTCGTGTCCATTGGCCACGATGCCAAGGCTTTTGGCCGGGTATGGCTCCGGCTTTTCATTTCTTTCTGTTTCTTGCTGCTGGATATCTCTTTCTATTATTTGAATATCTTCATTTTAGTTTGCATTTTCTATTGATTAATGCACTACCTTCTATTTGGAGGATTCTGTTTATGTCCGCCTCGAGTTCGAAGTGCGGCCTTTGTGTTCCTTGGATTATTGGTTAATCTTCTTGAATTTTTTTTAGCTCCTAGGATTTATGATTCAACATTTCTGTAATTTTATTTCTACAGCTCTTTATTTTTATGCTGAGTATCTATTTGGCAGATTTATGTGAATTCTCTCAATTCAAATCATAAGAGAATTATGAAGCTGGACAGAGCATTGTTGCACTGATTGTATTCGATAAAAATCCAAACCTTGTTTAGTGTATTTCCTTTGAATTACGTTACTTTGGAAATAGTTAAAGATGGGCATAGAAATATCTTTATCAAGAAGCTTAGCATGGAAAACTGTCAATGTAGTGGGGCAGTAAAATATGATTTTTTTCGGTTAGAGCCGTGACCCATTGGTTGGCAGCTCAGTACATCAATATGTATATATATCTTCATTAGTTGAGCTGTGCACTCATAATCTAGGACTAATTGATCCTTTGGAAGCTGCACCTGGTATGCCTCCCCTTGCTAATCCTTCACCCTCATCATCTACACCTCTTATAAATAAGATGGATATTGATCCTCTTGCTTTTGAAGTCTCTCTCTCTCATATTGGTGAAAACATGGAAGATCATGATTTACTACTTCATCCTGATTTTGATTGGAGTATTCAAAATGGTGTTGCACTAGAAGATTGGAGGTTTCATGTCTTATTCACTAAACGAGACTATAATAAGAACAAAATTTATCGTCTCTCTCCTATTTTTCCTAAGCTTCATGCTAGATGGGTCAATTGAGCTTGTACACCATGATATCTTTATTTTGTTCTATGTTTCACAATTCACATTCTATCTCTTAAGTATAAAATCATTCATCCACCTGAACAATATATAAATGGCTCTTATATAACAGTTTACACTTGATACGCGTTAATGATTTCTATGTGGGATACTATCTTACTAAAGGATTCACTCAATAAAGGGTTAGATGGTAAGATATCATAAATAGTATGATAGGCTTGTGGTGGAGGTAGCTGGGTAGAGCGAAGCATACAATATTGAAGGCTTGCCACAAACATGCAATAATCTTTAATTTTCTTTTTGATCCTATTAAATGACAATGAAAGGAAATTAACGAAGTCCAAAGTTAGAGATTGTCTATTGGTGGATGATAGATCCACCAGTTAGAAGTACCAATTGTTCAAAGCTCCAAATACTACTCTTGTTGAAATTGCTAAAGTTTAGGCTTTGGCTCATATACTAGAACTAATCTGGCCTTGGGAGGTATGACCAAGGCTTTCACTTAATTAAGGTGTATTTAATGTGGGAATGATCCTTGTGGTATTTATAGAAGGTCACGATGTGGAGGGCCAATAGAAAGGTCGATAAAGTTTTCTAAGGATGGGTGGACATAGGGTTCCCTCTTTAGCTTTCAAATTAGGGTTGAGGCATGGACTGGGATTATGACATGGAATCATTTGGAAGGGTTGGGGGAATGTTAGGAGATATGTTATGGAGTATTTGATTAATATTCAAAAGGTTTATGGGTGTGCAGGTGGAGAGAAACCGAAACTAAATCTTGAAAATTTTAGTTTGGTCGATTGGCGTAGTTTGACTTTGTTGACTTGCATAATGATGCTAAGGGAACATGCAGGGTTTGTAATGGCTTGAGAATGTTAGATGGATGTGTGTAGATCAGATATGGAGTGAATGGTATAAATTCAATAAGTTTAGATGGTGATGGAGGGGAAAGAACCAAAACTAGGTCACCAGGAAGCCTTCCTTGGTAGATTGTTCTTGGGTTTAGCTTTTACTTTGTGTGATGAGCGTAGTGGCTGGAAAATGGTGTGAGAAGGTTGTAGGAATGTAGGAGAATTATATGGTGTGAGTGGATGATAGATTTGGAGAGAAATCCATTAAAAGAAAGGAAGAAAAGAAAATACCTAGCTCTCCGACCAAGTAGAAACCATAAGGGCCGACAACTATGTTCCAACTCTAGAGAATCAATTCTCTACTTTTTATTTCCCAAAACACCTAATCTTCTTTTTCAACATTCCAATAATATTTAAAGCATTACATTAGTTCTACTATTCAAAATTAAAAAAAGTAATGAAAGGAGGGAAATTGAAAGCTAGCCAAGCCAAAAGTATGAAGGGGAGTGGAATCACTCCAATTTGCCTCCTATTAAGGATTGGCTAGCCTTGCCTGCTTCCAAATCAAGTTTAAAGCTAATTATAAGAGGGGGAATGCAATGTAAAAGCCCTTTATATGTAGAGAATGAATTGAAGATTGAATATTCAAAATTTAAAATTGTGAATTCAAGCTTTAATCATTATTATATTATATTTAATTTTCATATGGAGGAAAAAGTGTTAAGGTTTGAAATAAAATATTATAAAATTTAAATTTTGAATTTCAAAATTTAATCATTATTACACTTTACTTAATTTTTACATCAAGGCTCATTGTTCATGCGTGGTTGATGATGATTATCTTGATTTTTTAATCTTTGTGATGGGGCTATCTTATCTTTTATTCTGTTTTGGATTCTTGATCTTGATTCAGTGATGGGGCCATTATGATTATTCGTTTGATATTATAAATCATATGTGAAACCTCAAGTTTGAATGTAATATAAACAACTTGTAATATGACCAAGTCTAGTTCAATTGTGATGTGATCTGCTCGACTTGATTATAGCCCAACCCCAACTTGTAATATTCTTATTTTTAACTTTAGCTGCAATATTGAGCGCATCCTTCTAGCACTTTTTTCTTTAAGTATTTTATTCTCTGCATGCATGCTATAATGCTATTAACTTGGTGTGCTTACATCATTCAAGTATCGAGACTTAGACATACATTGTTCATGTGGTTGCTTGCTTAATTGAACGAAGTATAATTTGCTCCTTCTGGTGGCTTTTTGACTTGTTATGTTTTTTCTTCATGCTTCTACAGATGGATGCTCTCCTTTTCGAAATAAATCAGACATCATGTTATGATATGATTGAGCAATGCTGTTGTTGCATATTGGAACATCTTCCAACCATGCAAAAGGAGAGGTATTCAAACTTTCTACTTACATAATTTGATTAAATGGCACCTTAGTCTTGGTGATTATCGAATTTTAAAGCTTGGTTTCAACTGATGAGTTAATTTCCAGTGGTTAGTGCCAAACTTTGTATGTTCACTAAGAATTTAATGACTTTTCTGACCCCACGTAGTGGGAAAGTGCCTATATTATCAATTAACACATCAGTAAGTTCACGATGCTCAAAAAGCTAGAAAGGCTGTCTCCTTTGATACAAATAAAGTAAAATTTAAGGCCCCCTCATAGTTGTTTTTCTTCATTTTAAAATGCAAACATTCCAAAATAATTCACTGCATGCTCTGCTGAGTATATTTATATGCATGGTGAAAGGAATTTAAATTTTACATGCTTTCAAAAGCCAAGAGAAAAATTTTTATGGAATCATTAATTAAGCTTGGGGAATCTTTTATAGTTCCCCACCATGTTTGAAATTTCAAAAGCCAAACATGGAGATTAAGCAACTTGAAAGTGAAGCATAAGGTTCAAAGTGTAAAGCGCTGAGCTTCTTAAACTTTTGTTTTTTAATTTCATAATAATCAACATATGTGAGAAGCTTAAATACTTAATAAAAATAGTAAATAGAAAGATTCATAGGGTTATACTAAAATTTGAATAAAGAAAATGAATTACATTCATCGATATGTCATTCATTAGGTATAGTGAATAGCCACACTAAAATATAATGTTCTTGAGTGTGAGATCAAAAGCAAGGATGATGTAAAACAAATGAAATTATTGGTTGACACAATTGTCAATGGATTGCATATATATATGGATAAATTTATAGTATAAAAAATATAAAAAATAAAAAATAATTATGTAAATTGATGGAATGATTGTTTTGCATTATTAATATTAGATATTGTATGTTGGAATTAGGGGTGCAAATGAGTCGAGTCGAGCTCGAGTCAGGAAGTGTTCGAGTCGAGCTCAGCTGTCGAAAATTGAGCTCGAGCTAGAACTCGAGTCGAGCTTGAACTCGACTCAACATAGAAAAAGCGAGCTCATCGAGCTGCTCGTCGAGCGGGGTATCGAGCGCCAGCGTCTGCCAACTTCGCCAACGTCGTTGTCCATCGCAGACGACGTCGTCGTCAAGAACCGTCGTGAGACCTTCGTCGTTGTCCGTCGTAGACGTCGTCTGCTTCCGCTTCCATTTCTGTTGTCCGTTGCAGACCTTCGCTAGCTATCTTCAATGCTGTTGCCTTCGATGTCGTCGTCGAGCGTAACATTGTATTTTCCCGTCGATGCCGTCCCATTGATGCCAAGCCTTCGATGCCGTCGCCTTTGGTAAGCGTCTGTCCGAGCGTCAAATTGGATTTTCCCGCTCGCCATTTTGATTTCCCGCTCCCAAATTGCATTTTCCGCCCGCTAGCTCGGTTGTTGAGTTGCTCGTCGAGTCGACGAGTAAAGTCCGATGCCTGTTCGAGCTCGAGCTCGATAAGCCTTCGAGCTCAACTCGTCGAGCCGGTTATCGAGCCGGCTCGTGAGCCGGCTTGACTCGGTTGCACCCCTAGTTGGAATAGATTCTTATGAGTCGTGTGAGAGAGAATTTTTTGCTCATCGTAGCTTTGGCATTTTGAGCTGATTGTTAAAAAGAGGAAATTTAATCTAGAAAATTTTTGAAGAAAAATATCTCCGAGTCCTCGCACAGACGTAAGGATCCAATGTTCATCAATATTCTATGAACTAGTTGTTTGCCCTCAAGAGATTGTAGAGATGTCAAAACAATATTTCAATATGGTAATTGGATCAATGATGATGAATTGATAACATTGAAGACACTATGTTGGTGGCCACACACACTGACTACAAGTGAGGTTGTCGGTGATTGATAACATTTTTAGGTAATATCAAAGCGAATAATGACATCATTAGATAGCTCAATGCTAGTTGTGGTATGTTGTTAGCAACGTATATAAACAATGGGTTATTAATGGCGCCTCATCGTTAGGAAAGATCATGCATGTCTTCTTCAATGAGTATTCCACTTATCTTCATCAAGCAGAATACCATCTATTGTTAATGAGCATTACATTTGCAATACTGGGTAGTAGTATGCGCCTTGAGTGAGTATCATATTCATTGTGGGTATGCTATCCCCAATGAGCATGACATTTGTCACAGTGAGCAATAGAAAAAGTTAAGGACTTGTGCAAGGTGTAAAATCGGACTGGACAATGAATTGGAAGGAGAGGTTGACGGTTCGACTGGGGTTGAATCAGATGACGTGATAAATATTTTTTAATTTAAATATAATAATTAATATAATAATTACTCATTAATTTCAAATATTTGACAATGAATGCAGGATAACCTTTAAGAGTTTCTTCATGTGACAAACTCAACAAATTTATGAGAATATTTCCCTGCATAGCTTGGCAAATGTTCTCTCCAAGCAAAACCGAGTGATCCTAAATATAAACTGCCAAGCCAACCTTCTCCATACCACAAAAACATTCTCAAACCCAAACATTACATCGATACTTGCACCTAAAACATCATGAAACATGAATCAATTTACCTAAAAACTTAGAAAACTCTCTGACACTAGCTCTCAATAGTCAACACCCAAAACAATTTGTGCTTGTAGTCCACTTTGGCACTTCGTCGAACACTTTGAGTGCGATGTTATGAACAAATACATTTAGCCATAGAAGAATCTATGATTTCCACACATGCAGTAAATTTCATTCCTCACCTACTTGTTATCTTCTCATCCATACTAGAATTCTTCTCCAAAACTACACAATCCAACATTGACAAATCAACATCCTCACACAGGAGATTGTAATTGAGACCGCTAACCTACTATTGAGGGTCGCAGCTCGGTTTTTTCTCGCGATACGGCATGTCTGCTAGCTCCAGGTTGTGATTCACGTCCAAATTGCAAGGGATGCCATCCGATCCAGGGTCTAGTTCACAATCACATTTGGACATGGCCTCCTTGTCATCGTTGGCTGCATCTGACGCAGGGGCAGAATCAAACATTGCATCACACGAGCCCTTCTCATTATGCTCTAGGTCGTCCCGATCGCACTATGTCTGAGCCAATAGAGTCGAAACTTGCTGGGATCTGCAGCCATTAAGGGGCGGACCTTGCTCATGTTTCGAATTTACAGAAAATGAGCTCCCTTCTTGGTTCATAATGTCAAGGGATAGAGTCCATGCAGTGTTCATAACCCCTTGTAACGCCTAGGCATAGTTTCGACTAGCAACCTTCGCTTGCTTGAACTCCTGCCAATTGATCCATCACACTCTTCAATATCCTCCTTTCTTCGTGCTCCGTTGCACTAATTCTACTTCGCTTGCGCACTCAACGGAGCAGTTTTTCAAAACTGTTTCCGATCCATCGATTAAGCGGTCGAGTCGGCGGTTCAACCTGATTGCACACAATTTTCAAAGGTGACAAAACTAGTCTGATTCATGGTTCAACCGGCATGTCCGGTTCGATTTTTAAAACCCTGGACTTTTGTTTTTGGTCACACAAATCATTATTATTGGAGATACAATATTTTTTCTTCAAAGCTCTGGGAAAGGGTGTCAAAATGTTCAAAAGGTAGGGTTTTCGTCCGACCCAATTCCAATCAACCCAAACCCAACTCGTTTAATAAACGTGTCAAAAACACCAACCTAAACCTAATCCACTATCAACACAAATGACCTGAACCCGACCCGTTTAATAAACGTGTCAAAAACACAAACCTAAACCTAACCCACTAGCAACACAAATGACCCGAACCCTACCCTTTTTGCTTAATTTTTTTTTTATAACTATAAAATTTATGATATTTGATAAGAAATAATAATATTATACCCACATATAAAAAAGGTAAAAAAATATGTTAAACGAGTCATTTTTAGGTCAAACAATGGGTGTGAGGGTCAACCCGACCCGAGTCATTTAATAAACGGGTTGGATAACCCAACTCGAACTCGACATGTTTATTAAATAGTTTAACCAAAACCCGAATTTTTCGGGTTGGGTCAATTATTAACACCCCTATCTAGGAGTTCGTAGAGAATCCACAAAGAAATTGCATTTGATGCTTATTTATAGTTTTATAGAAGTCTTTTTAGCCTTACCAAGCTTGATATTTATCCTTATCTGAAACTCACATTGGAGATAGAAATCTCACATTATTAAACGACTCGCTCCAGCCCAAGCTTTTTTTTTTTTTTGAAATTAACCCAAGCTAATTTAGGAGACCATTAGTTGCTGTTGGAGAAGATTCAAATTTGCAACATGTTAATGGGTGAAAAAGTTCATTAAAAACTTGGTGAAAGTACGATCTCAGTCCTCCTGCTCTATGGGTAAGAAGGGAAATAGATTAAAATGTGTCTCATGGTAAGATTACCAAGGTCATAGGATGTAAATGCTTGGAGATATAATATAAGAGCTTAACAAAGGAAAAGCCAATGTATAAGTGGTCTAGTAGTCGTTGCTTTACATCCATTGTGCAAAATTTACTAGATCTCTTACAATTAGTACATGAAAAGAATGATAGTCCTTTTTACAATCAATCCCTTCCCTTTTGTGAGCTCTCATGAGATCCCTACCATTTTGATATATAGCTGATGCGTCTATCAGCTATCACTAGTTGTCAAAAGAGTGTGGATAATGTGGAAGAAAATTGGTTGGATCTGTTTTTATGGTTGTTTGGAAATTCCTAGCCATGGGATGCTTCAGGGTCACCCCATGCTTGGTCGTGGCCATTCAGTGTTGAAAGCTTCATGCATTAGTTCTATATTGATGCCTTTAAGATGTTTAACAATGAGCGACCAAAGATGGTATTTTAGGTTGATGGCGAGTAGAGTATTATGAAGTTTTGTGCATGTCTCCTTGTTTTTCCCATCATTGAGGGTGACATCTACAAAAATAACCCCCATGGGTATCCTCTTCTCTTGCATGAAGTCTACCAAATTAATCTCCATGACCCGAAAGTTTTGGGAGTTTAGCCTTATTTGATCGTATAGTTGTTGATACAACACATTTATCGAGCTACTAGAGACTATCAATGCACAGTACATCATAATGGTTGATGACATCTTGTATGATGATTATGTCATTATAGGTAGTCCTGACAATTGGTAGGTCAGTGTCTGAAAAAGATACTACAGGAAAGAGTAGTTTGTATAGTTTACCTTCGAGTCTAAGTGTTAAAGGTTTTGGTTTCAAGAGGCTCCAGCGCCAGCACATCTTGCGATGGTGTTGAGACACTTCATGATATGTAGTCCATTGTTGGTACGTATGTTGGTGTTTGATGTTGGCCACGATCAAGCATCATTTTGGTCTATGTATCTGGCGTCGCATTGGTGGTGGCGGGTGGCATTGATCTTGCCAAGAATTGTTTCAGGTGGCCTTGTTCTTGAAACTTTATAATAATGCTTTTAGGACTTGATAGTTTTAGATGACATGATCATTCTCATTGTTAGAGACACCTTTTAAGACTATTTAGGTTCTTCTTGAGCTTGTAAGTGGAGGTAGTCCTTATCTAAATGGTTGTGATGGTTTTGTTAATCCTCAAATTTAACTTTAACCGGGGGGTGTTATGAGCCCTAAGCATCGAAAAAATATGATTCATCATGCCTTCTCTATTCGAACAATATCATCAATCCTGTCTTCCTTCTGTGGATGTTTTAGGATGCAGGTCATGGGGCTGGTTGTATTGGTAGTCTTGGTTTCCCTTATATGGGTGACTACGCATGTTACTTTTTTTTTTTGCCAAAGCTAAATGGCTTTCTAATAACTACGCATGTTACTTCAACCAGATAACTTCCTGTATTATGTCACATAAGAACCGTGTCAGCGTTTATGAACTTTGAAGCTTACTCAAGCATCTTCTACAGGGTGGCTAGGTTCTTTTCCATTGATCACTTAAACAATGGATTGTGGGAACCGAAGTGAAGGCATCTTGACCACCCAAGGCTCCGAGTTGTTGACTTCTTAGGATGCCTAGGTGAATCACTGCACATAATATCAAAGGGTATCCCTTTCACCCTAATTATCACATAATAGGGTTTGAGCTGACTTTAGCAATAGCTTGGAAGTTGCGAACTTTGTTATGAACTAATTGCTCAACCCATTAAAAGAAGTGATGTTGATAAGCGAGAGTTTGACAAACCACCTCTGCATGCGTATTTTAATGCGGCAACACAAGTTGTCAAAAACAGGAGTTACTGCCATTGTGTCATTGAAGCTCCTAAGATGCTTGATGGGGTATGTGAGCCCTTGTAATGGGCCTAATGGCCTAACTGTGGGATCTTTAGCTTGAGTGACAGGACCTCGCATAGGATTCCCATCTAAAATAGAGTGCTAAGTCTCATACTCCGAGTGATTCTCAAGCACTGCCTCCAGGGGGTGCTTCTTTCATGGGTCAACCAGCTGTATTAAAGCCACCAAAATAACCAAGCATTGTTAGAGCCATTTATAAGACTATATGACGCTGGATGGTAAAGGATCTATTGTTCTAGAATTGGCCAGAGCTTCCATTGAAGCGGCTGGTTGCAATGTAGCTTGTAGCAGGGCATCTATTTTCCCGACAAACTGTTCTAAGTTTTTTTTAGCATCGCTTCAGTCATTCCAAGTGAAGTTGAGCTTTGGTTTGATCCTTTTGTGTGTCTTGAAATTCATTCGTATAAAAAATGGCACTAAATCAAATAAAAATTCTTATGATAAAGCCGGAAAAAATGATAATTTTATTTACTAATGTCATGCAACATAGAGCATGAATGACATGCTAAACATTTTTTCGAAGCATGCAGAAATCACATCGAAAATGACCATTTACACACCACACACAAATGTAAAGGATAGCCAACTTGACAGATTCAGCCAACCTTTCTCATTAGAGTTTACTATCAATTCCATTGGCCAAGCTTGCTAGAAGAATAATCATTATAGTAACAACAACGTTCATCTCCATCAAGCAGACCAATAAATATGTTTGCATGCACAAAGGCATATTTATTCTTAATCATGGTTCATTAAATGATTTGTAAATAAGTGTTCAGATATAACACTCAATGTTGAGTGCTTGAGTTTTGCAGCAACATACACTATAATAAAGCAAAATAGAAGTATGCATACACTTAATTGTTTTCAATATTGCTTAACTAGCATCTACTCATGATCGTGGAAAAAATGACTATTATCAAATACTATGGTACTGTTGGGGATGAGGAGTAAATACCACAATGACGAAACAAGCAAGAAAGTAAAAGCAGCGGAAAGTAAATGACACAATGATTTAATGTGGAAAAACACAAATTAAGGAAAAAATCACGGAGCCACACCACACCAAGACATCTACAATGAAAATTGGGAGAAATAGTATAGATCTCTGTTCTCTCTCACCCTCTCCTTACTTCTGTTCTCATATGCACCGTTATCAATATCTAACACTCAAAATACAAGTGAAAACCATGTAAATAACCTCAAGGGACACAACCCTTCAAAAAAAAAAAAAAAAAAAAAAAGAGAGAAGAAAAATTGTCCAGTCCGTCTCGCAGCGCTGCGGTGCTTGAACCTCTTTCTTGATCCGCTATAGCATCATATATATGCCGTTGCTGCGCTTTGCTCTCTTGTCGTTCAGTGCTGGGGCAGTGCTGGGGTGCTCGGGTACACAGTGCCGCGGTGCTCGGGTACATAGAGCCGGGGTGTTGTACGGAAAAAAAAAAAAAGTGTTCAAAGAACCCTAACCCAAGCAAGGGGTAAATCCCTGCACCCCCTAGCGAGCATGAGAAACTTGAGGTCCAAGGCAACAGAACAATCCAATTATTCAACACAATCAGATTCTACACATAACATTTACAAGTGCAGAAAAATAAGAATATTGAATATATCGTAAGAGGAATGATAAGGGAATTCCTGATGAGGAAAGTTTATTCATTTCTCTATCAATTAATAATAGTTGCCTATCTAAATATAGGTAACCAAATATGAAATAGGAGTTTATAGCCAATTTCATTGCTTAAACATAAATATGCCTTAAGTAAATCTTTAAGAGAGAAGTACCTAATTTAGAATAATTTGGCTAGAGGAAAATCAATATGAAATTTGAGATGAATTAACCTAATCTAATGATGGAATTAATCATAACATACTCAATTCAACATAGCATTATATGAATCAATCCCAATCTATTTATCCAATGAATAATCCAAGTTAATTTGATGAATTGATTGAAGATAGCATGAGCAGTGCACTGTCTTATTTCTTTATTCAAGACTGAGGTACCATGGTCCTGAGACCTCGACATAAAACAACAAACCAGCCTCTCACAGGGCATGGCAATGTTGTTGCAATCTGTAGGCATGAACAGTAAAGGTGAAACTCCAAAATGTTTATGGAAATGATACCATGTTACTACCAATCTTCAGTTTCTAACTTTCTATGTAATATGATTTACTTATTTCAGCCACGATGAATATTAAAATGTGTTTTCAATTCTTTTCCGACTCTAGTAAGCATCTTATTGTGTGCCTCTTCATGTTTCTCTGTTCCTTCTTAATTCTAGCTTTACGTTTTTACCTTTTTTTACTGAGATCAATTAACCTAAATTTTGCTTCAACTCCTGAAATTTTCTTAATATTTTACCGCTCGGTGCATGAAAGAAATCATAGAAAATCATATATTATGTTTTCCATTTCTCATTAGAATCATCTCTGTATACTTGAAATACGTTTTAAATTAGTTAACTTATCTAAATTGATGCTTAAAAATAGCTCAAGTGACTAAACTATTTGTTGAATCTTTAAAAGGTTTTAATTTATTTTGGTTTTTGAATTTTATTATGGAGTCTTCTGTATCGTTTAAGTATGGTTGAAGTATTTGCTCCAAATACTTCCAGGAAATATACAACAAGCTCATTTCTGTTGATTGTTTGCCCAAACCAATTCACGCTGCTCTTACTTTACATTTCACGCCTAACCACTTCTCTTTTCCAGTGGCTTTTTGATATCTTCTTGATCCATATCAAGAAGGGGAAGGCACATTTCGAGTAGGCATAGACTCCAAGTGAAAGAAGAGGGGAAATAAGAGAGACTAGAGAGATAAGAAACCAGAAATTATTCATTCCATGCCAATTGCTTCCAGTAGGGCCTATTTATACTACTTGTGCAGACCAAATATATAACATAGACATGGTCTACCTAATACATAAAATGAAATAGATAAACTTGGCCCACCATACTAAAAGAGCCAAACTAAAATAAAGATAATTACATATTTGTAAACCACTTTTTCTATGTACTATTCTTGATCATTTTGGAGTTTTTCTTCTTCTTTGGTAGACTCTAGTGTTGGTAGTCCATTCTTCACATCTGATATATGAATCTAATCCCATATATTGATGTCTAACACGTTTTTATTGTTTGCTTGGTATTTGATGAGATGTTATATTTCTTTTCTTGTTTTAGGGACTGCCCTAAAGAAACTGTAGAGGCTGTGGCAACTCTGATTTTTGCTGCTGCTAGATTCTCAGACTTGCCTGAATTAGCTGACCTCAGGCGTGGGTTTACTGAGCGATATAGAACTACCGTGGAATCATATACAAATAAAGAGGTACAAACCCACAATTTTAGCTGGATTTTGATTGTTACCCTAGAATAGCTTCTCTTCATGCTTTTCCCACAGTTTGTTGAGAAGCTGCAAATGAAGTCCTTTCCGCAAGACCAGAAATTGCAGTTAATGAAAGATATTGCCCGGGAATTTAACATTGATTGGGATGTCAACTCATTTGAATACAAGATATCAAATCCATCGAGCCCAAATATTGTAAGTATGCACGATTAGTGTCATTTCAATTTAGTTTCTTCTGGGAACTTTTAATGCACATGGATCACACTTGAAAGTGGATTGTTTGGAATGAACCGGTTTGCGTGTGTGGTGTGCCATACAATTCTATGGCACACATTTTCATATTATGCTCATCTATTGATCAGTGCAGTTCACATTCTATTCCCTTCATGATTTTTCAGGACCATCCTAAGATGCATTTTCATTCCAGCAATAAGTATTATATCGAGTCCCATATAACCGATGAGAAAAGAGAAGTGACTGATAGAATGCATGAAGTCCTCAATGGGGGAAAAACAATAATTGAAAAAACAGTTGAGAGAATAGAAGTAGCTGATAGAAGGAATGAAGTTGTCAATGGAAGAAAACTGATGCTTAAAAAGGTTAAAGACACTAGCTGTCTAACGAGTGATCTGCAAAAGCAACAAATAGAATTTGAGAAGCTTAAGAAGGCAAATAACAATGCGGATCAAAAGATCATACAAATGGAAGGAGATGAACACCATTCTAGAAGTGCTGTGCGGAAGCATCAAGTACAACCTGAGGAGCGTAGAAATGTTCCTACAACTCCCAAAAATGCTGATGCTCATCGGCTTGATTCCACTGACAAGATTAAGAAAGTAGCTGCTAATGAGTCAGAGAACATTGAACCACACCATTTAAGTAAGAGACCTCCTCCTTATGTCAAAACCAAAGGCAATCAGAATGAAAACACTCGCAAAAGATTAGAAGTTCCTGATGGCGCTGTTAAGAATGATAAAGCTATAAATATGTTTCCTCCGCACACTAAATTTACAGAGAATTTTAATGGAACCAATTCTTATCCGCATGGTTTTTTCCATTCTTCAACAGAAGTAGTTGTCAAGGAGATGGAACATAATGATCAACAGAGGCAGCCTAATGGAGCAGTGAATCCTAAAAGTAAAAGTGCATTCAATCTTAAGCCTCCTTATGTCAAACCCAATGCCAAAAGTTCATTGGAATCTAGTTGTGTGAAGCCTACAAACTATGATATGTATAGTAGTAGTGCCAATGGAGGTGATCATAAGAATACAGCATTTTCTGTCAGGAGGAAGCACCTTGAACAGGGAACTGCTGCTCATGGCGGCTCAACGGGCGAAGATCATAATTTACTATGGAATATTTCAACCAAGAAAGCAGGTGTGGTTGTAAAGGATAATGTTATGCATATGGATGTTAATGATCAGCTAGGTTTCTCTCGGCATTCTAAGCAAATAGAAGATGATGCTGTTTACCATGGCCGGCGCATTCATCGAACATGCATTGACCAAACAATTCATGGAAGGAGGGGCATCAATGCTGCTCATGATGGGGGATATGAGGAGGAAGAGCAAATGGACAGGCTCTTGGAGCATTTCAGTAAGAAAAGCATTAGAAATGAGCCAGGGAAAGATAGAACAGGTACAAGGGAAGCTCAAACACAGCCCATCCTTGATTATTCAAGAATTCCGGAGAAAGCTATTAAGGATGAACAATACTCCAAGCTCCCAGCACATACTCCAACTAAAACGGCTTCCCTGCCCACCAGAGAGACTCTTGTTGGAAAGACATGAAGAGCTGCATGAGCCTTCTTTCACCTTTTCCAACTTACTGTTTTAAGATCAATATATGGATAACCCAAGAAAGAGACGGCCCTTTCACGAAGTATTGGCTGTTCTATGTTTCTCTTCTTAGTATGGGCAGGCTTCAACACACAATTCTTTGTCTGATTATACATTCTTGTTTTCCTTTAAGTCTTGAGTTTGTGATGATTTGCCCAGTAATCTATTCTGAGCATAAACTTTTTATACATCCAAAGTAATAGTGCGTTGTTGATCTGTATGAGCTGCTGGACATGCTTAGCTTCTCAAACATATTTAAAGTTAAGACATTGAGGTGATGGATAGTGTCAACCATGACTTTGGCAAGCAAACCTTTACACTTCTACTTGGATTATTCCACCTTCGTTTTCCTTTATTTTCTCAGAATGTCATCTTCGATAAAAATCTAACATTACTATTTATGAACTCGTACAATCCCTTCTTGAGTACTAAGGTGAACAGAGAACTACACAATGTTCCTGATTCCGGCATGTCTTTGGTTTGCCCTCTTCCAAGAGAAATTGTTCTATGCGGTCACCGAACAGTCCAGAGGTGAATCACAACGTCACTTGGTACTGAACGGTACACAGTGATACACAACAAAAAAAATGAAGTGTCGTATTCTCATTTGCCTTTGAACGCCATTTGGTGACCGCACAAAATAAATTTTACACTTCCAAAACCTCGGGGCTTCTTCACATGAAAGCCTCATCGTTGATCCTCTTTACTGATATATTTGTCTTGCAGTTTTTCATCAGTCATATTTATCTAACATCTTTGTCAATCCTCATCCCATTGATGTATTGAAGCCCTTTCTTGTTTGTTTCTTCACAGTAACTTTGCACTCTTCTGACATCTTCGCAACAGTGCAACATAGTGTTTTAGACAATTCTTTCAGCATTTTGGCTAGCTTGCAATCCAGCACTCTTTGACGTCTGTCTTGAGAATAGCCAACTCTAGACTTAGGCTTTGTTTGGGACGGCTTTTTTACTGCTTCTTAAAGCAATTTTTTAATACAAAAATTTTAATTTTTGTACTAAAAAGCTACTTCAAGAAGCAGTAAAAAAATCGTCCCAAACAAAACCTTAGTTGATTCCTGCTAGTATACCTAGCATCCAAATCTCTCATCTTTCTTATTGGTTCTAATGGCTAATGCTAATGGTGCAAGCCTTTCTTTGGTTACTAACAATGTTAGTTTTGCAGGCGTTATTATTGAACTTTTTATGTAGAAATATATGATATCATACTTAATTGTGTGATATTTTTAGTAGAAAATATTAGTATCATGTGTTTTATTTATACATATATTAATAATTTGTAAAAGAAAATATTATATTTATGGCAGGTTATGTCCTCTATTTTTTTTTTATAGTTATGTTATGATCTTATGTTTGTCATACGTATTCGTGCTTGTTATTCATATGATAGTCATTACATGAATTCTTATTATTTTTGACGGAATTATCGATAGGAAAAGTCAGAATTTTGCCAAAAAACGATGTTTTTGATGAAATATATGAAGGACTATGGTTGTTTGGCGGTGAATTTTTTTTTTTCAATAATCCGTCGGTAATATCGATGGAATTTTTTGCTGAAATTCCCTGGAAAATTTTCTGCAGGTATTTATGATGAAAAATTCTACCTATTTTTCAACCCAAAATTCGTCGTATTGAATTTATGTAAAAAAATCTGACAGAAACATGTAGCACCGAAAAAGACACTTGCCAATTATTCTTCAATAATTTATAAAGCACGTGTGAAACACATAAAAGAGCTAAATTTGGTAACATATTTAAACACTACCATAATCACATCATTTAGAATTCATTATATGATAATCAAACAAGGTAATGTACAAATAAAAGTCAATTATTCTACAATAAGCCAACAGTTCTTAAACATTACAACAACTAACAAAAAAAAAAAAAACACCACCAACAAAAAACGTTCTACCCTTGACTTTGTCTCCTTACTCTCCTCGGGCGTTGCAGGTGTCAAGGATATGCTCTCGGAGTCTGTGCAGCTCCTTCAATATTATATGGCTTTGCTCTATTTGCATATCCGCTTGTGATTTTTGCACTTACTCTAATATGTTGTCAAGGCATACACTTGTTGGCTAACCAGCTCCTCCTAACTGCTAGCTGAGAAGCTTGATGAACTGGAGGATTGTCCCTCGAATGCATAAGCATGCGAGTTTAATCCATAAACTATTCCCTTTGGCATTTCCCCTACTATCTGTGCCCATATTCTATGATCAAAATAATATGTTGATCCCATAGAGGATCCCTCACTAGCTGTAGCTTGGCTCTCTCGAAGTCATGTATACTTCTCCTAGAAAATATAAAATGAATATAAACATTGCTTATGTGTCACTTAAAATATTTTTAATAATATTAAAAACTTTAAAACTCACAAAGGCCCTCCTCGTTCGGTGGTCCACCCACTGTTAGTCCTTTTGGCACTGGTCGGTGCGAATGTATAGCTCAATAATAGTGGGTTCCCTACTCAGCATTTTTTTGCATTACGCTTAGATTAGTATTCATAACAAAATAATAACTTAAATCTAAGATCATAGGAAATTTATGTAAAAATTCTTACCAATTGTCTCATATGTTCAGGGCGTGAAACTAAGCCGCTAGTATGGAGAGCACTACCCATGCCCCCAATGTCTGAAGCTCTGTTTAGCCTATTTTGATCACTCCTCTTACTATAATCTAGGTTGGCCCAAGCTCTGGTCAAGTCAGCCCACACACTCTTACCAATTTAAAGCAGTCTCTCGACTGACTTCTTAGTATCTTTAAATATGTTTCGCAGGTGAGTTGATCCGCTCTTTTTTAAATTCTTTTTAATCTTTACATTATGTTATGGTAATCAATAAAAATCACTTTGCATATCTACATGATAACATAAAAAAATGTGCTAGACTAATTAAAATGTATATATATATTATTATTATTATTATTATTGTTGTTATAATTGATTACTAACCTTTAACTCCTAGAACCACATATCTCGAACCTTTTGAGATATTTTCTTCCATGATACATATGAAGCATTAAACTTGCTTTGTATTATGTCACGTATTTTATGTGTTGGCTTTTTTGACGAATGAAAGTTGTATAAAACATAAATTTCAAAATAATTTCTCAAAATATTTGAATAAACTAAAGCATGCGTTACTTCCGTGTTGCCCTCAAGCTCTATGAGCATGCAACCATCTGTAATTGGTGATGTTGCAGTCTCAGGTCACTGCTCCCCAAAAGTGGAAGGTCCACCTAGAAAACCAATAACTTAAATGTAAGATCATAGGAAATTTATGTAAAAATTCTTACCAATCTCATATGTTCAAGGTGTGAAACTAAGCCGCTAGTATGGAGGGCGCTACCCATGCCCCCAATGTCTGAAGCTCTGTTTAGCCTATTTGATCCCTCCTATTACTATAATCTAGACTGGCCCAAGTTCTGGTCAAGTCAGCCCACACACTCTTACCAATCCAAGGCGGTCTCTCGACTGAACTTCTTAGTATCTTTAAAACTTGTTTGTAGTGAGTTGATCCGCTCTTTTTTTAAAATATTTTTAATCTTTACATTATGTTGTGGTAATCAATTAAAATCTCTTTGTATATCTACATGACAACATAAAAAAATATGTGTTAGACTAATTAAAATGCATATATATATATATATATATATATATAATATATATTATATATATAATTGTTACTATTGATTACTAACCTTAAACTCCCAGAATCACATATCTCGAACCTCCTAGGGCATTTTCTTCCATGATACATATGAAGCATCAAACTTGTTCTGTATTATGTCATGTATTTTATGTGTTGGCTGTTTTGACGAAAGAAAGCTGTATAAAACATAAATTTCAAAATAATTTCTCAAAATGTTTGAATAAACTAAACCATGCATTACTTCTGTGTTTCCCTCAAGCTCTATGAGCATGCAACCATCTGTCATTGGTGATGTTGTAGTCTCAGGTCATTGCTCCACAAAAGTAGGAGGTCCACCTGGAAATGGTTGATGGGTGTTACTTGATTAACGACCATCAGATGATGCCGGCTACATCCTCACTGACAAGTTCATCCTTGCTATTTTCATCAATATCAATGTCTACTTTCTCTTCCTGTAACCCACTCTCGTTTGATACAACTTGCTCTTCCGTGACGTTAGCAGCCTCTTTTAAGTTTGACATACATTCTTATTGATGTGTTGCTGGTAATGTTGAGCTACTCTCAATAGCCCCTAGGGTTTGTCTTGACTATTACAAGTCAGTCTTGTTTAGGCCGCACTCTACTTGGATTGCTAGCAAAGTAGACTTATCTTGCCTGTTTAGCAATGACAAATGGGTCTGACTTTGTGTATCTCATACCTCGCTTTACTTTTGTAATATCATATTATGGAGCCCTCAGGTTGAGATAAACATTCAACACGGCCATCATAGGGGTGATTATGAGTAATTCTCATTTGTGTATTGAATCTTGTCGACATGCCGACATATGATCGGGTTCATCATCGGCGTTACACTTTTATAAGCAAATTTTCCTTGTTATGAGCCTTGAAGGCCTAACATGAACTATAAAAAGAATATTCTGGTCGACGTCGTGACCGTATATTCATTTGATAGTTCGATCCGTGACGATTCTTATACATCCACATAGAAGGATCGGGCTTGAACATGAGTTCATTTATTGACTCGTGCAGCATCCTCAGATGTCACGTGCGTAAATACAACATGCTAGCCGGGGTCCATGTGGGTGTTTATTATTATATGTATACGGGTAAATACACTGGTAGGTGCATTTTCAAATTATTGTGTATGATATATGTGTGGGTGCATTTTTGGGATATTTGCAGGTCTTCTATGGCAGCTCATATAATCTTGTGCTTACCGTAGCTCTTATGTATTTTCCCGTAGATGGCATGTTGAATGCACAATGGGTCTTCTACAGCGATCTATAAAAACTCATATTCTGTTATATATCACATGTCTTCACTTGTGGGAGAATGGTGTATTTGCTTATTGTTGAATGGCATTTGATTGTAAGGGTGTTGTATCATTCGCTATTTGTTGCCAATTATCATTCGTAAGTGTATCATAATGCATATGACACAAATAATTTTATCGTTAGCAGGCATTATTATTTATCATGTGTTGTGTTGTGCATGTTTACAAGGAGTTCATGAGCCGTGGTGTCTTCTGACGCCTTCATACTATTGTTCATAAAGGGGTTCTTGATTCTTGATTACATATGAACTGTAGTGGCGTTAGTTACAAGCAACCA